ACTAAAAGTATTTATTTGAACTCATGAACTTAACAATAAATTATTTTACTCTGTCTGCTCAATTAGCTTTAAACTTTTTACTTATACAGTAAGGACGTAGGTATAGGTTGGAATTTTTCTAACAAAATGCTTTCACAGGTCAATTGTTATTTTCTACTGAGCGTCTTACGTTACAATTGGATGTACTAATGACGTCATCGATTTTCTTTTAAATAGAACATTTTCTTTTCATTTTAAAATTCCTCAATAGACGATTACAAAAGTGTATGTAATACTTATAGTTCAGTCATTGGTTTGTGAACTCGAGACAAATGTTATATTAGAAATTTTGAATCTAAAATTTTATTGAAAGGGCTGCTCTAATACATTTTCAATTTTTATTAATTTAAATAATTAATAGAATACATTTCAAAATTAAATTAAATGTTAAAAGTACATGCCAATGACTTCCTGGCAATAACCAAGTCAGTTTCTAAAATCCTCTGACACTCTGGTCTATATAAGTTTTACAAACATTTTTGTAATCGTCTATTACTGGGGAATTAAAAAATTAAGAGAAAAATATGTTCTATTAACAAAAAAATCGATGACGCCATTAGTACATACAACTGTAGCATAAGACGTCTCATTTTCCTTCGCAGGGGTTCTAAACTAAATCCTTGCAGATGACACTTCCTCCCACTTTACAAAATTCCAGCTGGATGATACTATTGTACCACCTCTTAGACTATTTTAAACTACAAACACAAAAATTGAAATTTCAAAACATACAAACATAATAGACAACCTAGACATCATGACAAATGCACTTTTTTTCTTTTAATATCACATTTCTTTCTTTTATTAATTCATTTCTTTTCATTTGTTCAACTTTTTCTTTCTCGATTGCAAGTCTCTCATCATAATATTTTTTTTTTTGATTCGACATAGTTTCTAATACTGTAGACCTTCTTTTCCGTTGTTTTTTATTTTGTGTTGAAACTATTTTAGTTTCGGCAGAACCTATACTTCTTTTTTCCGATTCGTCAGCCCTATTTATATTTTCTTTCTCTATTATGTTAATATTTTTTGAATACAAAGGCTCATTAACCAGCCTCAAGTAAAAGTTCAGGAAATACAATTTTTTTTACTCAAAATACAATTCATTTTCTCTTCATATTCAAAAAAATGTTTTCCTCTACCAGTGGACGACTGATCATTAACGTATTTTTTATATCCTCGTTCCAAGACTCGCCAACGATTTTCGCACTGGCTTGGACTTACTTGTATTTTTAACAAATTTTGCAACTTATCAGCAATTTGTTGCCACATTATTTTAATGGTTTTTATTTTAAAACTCCCCACTTTGTCTGTTTTCTTTATAAAAATTTAAAAACAATTTTGTTGCGTTTGTAGTCCATTTAATGTCTCTGTCCACCTCATAAGTATTTAGGTTAGGTCCCTGAATAATAATAAATTCAGACAATTCGTTTGAGACAGCTAAAAAAATATATTATGTTGACAAATATTAAAATATTATTTAAAAAAATACATAATTTACCTAACACGTCATTATTTTGTTCCATTGCTTTATAATATCTATGCGTTCCAACAAGTACAATTCTCTGACACAAAAATGGACGTACATCTGACTGACATGCGCAGTGGTTAGTTTACGAATGCATTCATGTACGAGTCAGAGATACATCAGAACTGAGCTGTTGGAACGAACCTAATATATACCAACTCCAAAAAGATTAAAAAAATACGTTGATATTGATATTAGAATTAAAAAAACATTAAATTATTTAAGGGACAAAAATATTGACTTAAAAAATGCGTTGAACAAATTCATGTACATTACTAAATTTGAGTAAAATTGTGTTGTCATACTGTGTATTATCTATTGATTTTTTATTGTATCATTGGATTGTTTTTTCTAAAAAATATTGTAATAAAGATTTTGAGTTTATTAAATTTGTTTTTCTTTTAAATGTTTGTATATTATGCTAAAAAATTAACAAGTTTACAATATATAAACAAACGGCCGATATTATTTAAGTAATCTTAATCTAAATATCCCAAAAAGGTTGACCGGCCGAAATGTAACTCTAATCTTAATTTAAATATGCCAAAAAGGGCGACCGGCCGAAATGCAACTTTTTATTTAACGGCCGATATGGGAACGGCCGAAGTGGTACTAAACCATGTTAAATATTTGTGTTATAGTTTTTATTAGAATTTTAATGTTTTCAATTTTAATGCATTATATATATATTTAAAAAAAATGAAGAATTATATTACATAAATGGAATAACAAACCGAATTACAAGTTAGTTAAGTAATATGATTGTTTTGTTAGTTTATAATGTCAAATATGTGTGTTTTAGTTTATATTAGAATTGTAATGTTCATAATTTTAATGCGTTATTAAAAAACTAATTTAAGAAATATATTAAATAAATGGAATAATAAACTAAATGTTTCAGCACATAGACAAGTTCTTTATATAGAACTTATTTGAGCAAATGCTTCGTTTATTTACCATTGTATTATTTATTTTTTAACTGCATATTGTAAACCTCTATTGTACACTACCATTGGTAAAAATAAAAATGAATGAATAAATAAATAAACATGTGTATTTATGAGAAAATTAAAATAAGTAAAATTAGAAATATAGAAGAATTGCACTGTTTTTTAATTTCTTATTTTTTTAATTTGCAGGTTTTCCTTCTTCCAAGACAAGATCAACTCATATTGATGGACATTTTCAGAAACGTTACATAGTTTGTCAGTTTTGCGGAAAAGTAATGACAAAAATTGGGGGTTTTCGTCATTTTTTTATTCATCTAGTGAAAAATAGAACTAAAAATCACATGAATGACATTAAATACAATCTTTCTTCTAGAGAGATAAAGCAAAAAAGCATTGATAACGTTGACGGTAGTTGTTCTAAAGGTTTAACTCAGAAACGAAACTTACTACAACAGTTAATAACTCACAATAAAGCAAAACCGTTCAAGTGTGAAATTTGCTTAAAAACTTTCAATAATAAAGGTACCTTAAAAGTACATTTAATAATTCATAATGGTAAAAAACCGTTCAAGTGTGACGTTTGTTCCAAAATGTTTATTCAGAAAACACACTTACAGCAACATTTAATAATTCACAGTAGTATAAAACCATTTAAATGTGACATTTGTTCAAAAACTTTCAATAGTAAAGGTACCTTAAAAATACATTTAATGATTCACAATGGTAAAAAATCGTTCAAGTGTGGTGTTTGTTCCAAAATGTTTACTCAGAAAACACACTTACAGCAACATTTAATAATTCACAGTAATGTAAAACCATTTAAGTGTGACATTTGTTTAAAAAGTTTTAATAATAGAGGTACCTTAAAGAAACATGAAATAATACACACTGATGAAAAACCATTTAAGTGTGATATTTGTTTTAAACGTTTTAATCATAAATCGACGGTACAAAATCATATAAGAATTCATAGTGGTAAAAAAACGTTTAAGTGTTATATTTGTTCCAAAGGTTTTACCCAGAAACCACAATTACAGCAACATTTAATAGTTCACACGAATGAAAAATCTTTCAAATGTGACATTTGTTTTAGATGTTTTAATTTTAAATCTAACCTTAAAAAACATTTATTAATTCACGGTGGTGAAAAACCGTTTAAATGTGACATTTGTTCTAAAGCGTTCAAACAAAATTGTGAATTACAGAGACATTTAATAATTCATACTGGTGAAAAACCATTCAAGTGTGACAATTGTTTAAAATGTTTTAGTCAGAAATATCACTTACGGACACATTTATTAACTCACAATGGTGGAAAATCACACAAGTGTGACATTTGTTCAAAAGATTTTTATTGTAAAGATTACTTACAGAATCATTTAATAATTCACAGTGGTAAAAAAACATTCGAGTGTTACACCTGTTCTAAAATATTTAGCCAAAAATCCAAGTTACAAAGACATTTATTAATTCACAGTGGTGAAAAACCATTCAAGTGCGATATTTGTGCAAAATGTTTTAATAATAAATCTAACTTACAGAAACATTTATTAATTCACAATAGAGATATTGCAAACAATCTCAACAACACTTAATTTTTAATCCACAACTACTCTTGCTAAATATTAACCCGGCGGCGTAAATAGAAAACCTACTTCAATACGTCCCCCAGGCAGTAACCAACTAGACTAGGGTTTTTATGCGTTAATCGTGCAGAAAACCTACTTGAATATATCATCGGATGGTGCCGCATTGGAGTAGGATTGCGCGTTATTATGCTGCCTAAACATACGGAAGTACTACTTCAGTAGAGCCCGTGTTTTTTTGCGTAAAAAACATATGTATTTGCATAGTTTATTAATATTTTTTGTCATACTGTAAGTGATTTTTAATATTAAAGGCTATATTATGGGGTTGCTTTTTGGCACCTTAATTAAAATAGGTATCATTCGCTTTTCGTCGTGAGGTAGTTGTGGGTTGTTCTTTGACAAATTACTGTAGATATGTTTTATTTAGTAATAATTAATAATCAAGTGGCCACATTCTTACATGTAAGTGTGGTGCATCGTTTATTAAAGTTTTTTGGCACACTGTAAATTATTCTCAATATTGAATGCTATATTATCGGGTCGCTTTTTGGCGCCTTGGCGTTCTAATTTCGCAGGAAGTCCAGCTAGAATTCTTCCTCCAGAAATACCTCTAGCTTTTCGGCGTGAAATAAATGTTGGTTGTACTTTAATTTTTCTTGATCTCCTACCGGCTGTTTTGTGACACACAAATGACATGATCTGTGATGTGATCTGTTTCTTGTATAGCGGCCAATTTCTGTATATACAAAAGTTTTATATAGTAATTGATAACCAGCTTGCGAAATTCTTATTTGTAACTTTGGTATATGGCTCTTGCGTCACTTTGTAAAACTTGACCAGTGAATTTAAACTCATCATTTATTTTGTAGACATGTTGAACTGTGATGATACTCCTCACTCCACTTGCTGAGGTGTAGTTTGATCAGATGTGTGTTCAATTGATGATCCATCATGAACAGGTGGGTTGATGTTTTCAAAGAAAGACAGTGGAATTCCTTTTCCTAGTGCCAGATATGCAAGCTGTTGGCGATCCTTTTCAGTTAGCAGCAGGGAAGATTTAAAAATAATACCGTACTTATTTTCAACTGCTAGTAGATGTTTGCAGAAGCGGCCACCACTTCCACTTGAATAAGTGCAAAATCCAATTTCACTATCAACTACGTAGTACTCTAATGTTTGTTCGGTCTGAACTTTAAATGTTTTTTTATCAACCTGTATAACTTCGGTTATATTTTTGGATCTCTTAAAAAATTTCTGATAGTCCAGTGTCATTTTTCTGGATCTAGAATTAGCAAAATGTAGCAGTCTTTTTCTGTAATATATTTCGAATGTCTTAAGCACAAAATCTGCCAAAGCACACATATTGAAGGCTTTACACCTCTGAAGGATGATATCTTTAAAAAATCGTATAGAAGCCTCACAATAATTATTTGTATTGTGTCCTCTATTTACCGTAAATTGACGAAAACCTAACGCCCATTCTTCGCGTCTCTCCTACAAAACTCTTAAAGGCTTTATAAGTTTTGAGTTGGTATTTACACCATCATGGTCTTTCATCTTTGTAAAACAATCATTAGCGTTTTATTAGGTAAATGGAAAACAAAATTTCGCAAAACAAGTTCATTATTAATTTGCAATTTTCTTTTGGGATTTTGTTGTCTGTTAACCAGAGCCAGCGCCATAGCGCCTGAGTTAAATGGAAAATACACAGTAATAAAGAACTATTCGGAAATACCACTTTAAGAGCATTTCGCATTGCTGTTGAATCATCATTCATTATAACTGGAGGCGAAAATAATAATTCAATATTTATTAAGTGTTACACTTAATCCCTACTACTCACATATGGCTACCCTCACTCAAAAAAAAAAAATTCAGTATTTTCTAATGCTTCCTTCACTGCATTAAACACCGTTTATTTCACTTTGATTTGTGTGGAAGGCTACTGCAACTGGTGCCGCGCCTACTTTGATAGGAACGAAAAAAGAACACACTTGTATTGCTCTGGTCACATGATCCACCTAAAAAGAATATTTTCATAATAGATATGATAATAACGATAATAATAGGATCTTCCCTTATATATATAATTCGCCTTCCGAAAGATCGGCTTGCTTCCTCTTTAAAATTTCAATGGCGCTACTCGCATCTCTTTCGCCGTTAACTTGTTAACTTGTGTTTCCGTAGGGTTTTTTGAGCATTTGCTAAGCATTGAACAACCCCCAAATCAACATTTTGAGTCAATTCCATTTCGTGGAATATTTTCGCTGCTGCAGGAGTCATTCCTGATTCAAAATTTGAGACAAATAACGCCTCGACGTCATCATTGCAACGTAAAAGGTTGTAAGCCTGAGCAGCGTGCAGTCTGTGACTATATGGGACACCAATATATTTTTATTGTTTGCTTTTTTATGAATGTAATTTAATTTTTTAATTCATTATGAAATAAATTTTTGTAGGAGCTGCAATAAGAGTGAGATAACACGTGTTTTCGTAGGCATTAGGGTTTATTGTTTTTTTCTTCTTCTTTTTTTGCATAAGTTCTTTTTTTTGTACTCTGTATTTTGTAATAATCACCATTTGAAATATATTTCACTTGCTTTCTATAACGCCAGGTCTTTAACTTCTAAGTTTCTAGATTTAAAAAACTATCTACTCGAAAAAAAATTTGATTTAATGGGTGTTTCTGAAACATGGTTAAAACATGATATATCTAATGAATTTATAAAGATTGATGGATTTAATTTAATAAGGCAAGATAGGGGAACAAGAGGAGGCGGTTTAGCTATTTATTATACTCGACACTAACATATGAAATTTTACCTTTTAGTAATATTTCTGATCTTTGGATTAAAGTTTTGATAAATAGAAACTGGTATATTTTTGGTGTTATGTATAGACCTGCGGGTAAGAATATAACTTAATTTTTGGAGACTCTTGAAGATACTTTATCTCAACTGATTCTGATAGGAAATGACATATTTTTGGGTGGTGATATTAATATTGACATTTTAGACGAATCCAGTGCCTCAGAGAGAGTTTTAGCTATTATAGATTTATTCAACTTAAAACAGATTATAGATTAACCAACTAGGATTACTAGAAATTCGAGAACTTTACTTGATGTTATTGTCTTACCTCAAAATATTGATGCTGTTAACTGTGATGTTCAATGTTTACCTAGAATTTACAATGCAACTCAATCAGATCACTGATTGACATACTGCATTCTATATTTAAAATTGCCCGAGAGTCCAGTCAAGATCAATAAAATTAGAAAACTAAAAAGAGTCGACCTTATATTATTGCAACATTTTTTAGAAATCAGTAATTTCGAAAATATTTACTTTATTGATGATCTAACCGAAAAGGTAGATTATTTTAATGCTATTCTGTTAAATATTTTTGATGTCTTAGCACCAGTAAAATCTATTAATACAAAGAAACGGAAACCTGGCTGGCTTACAGATAATTTAAAAATCATGATGTCATTGCGTGATAAAGCTCTTCACAAATATAAGAAAACACAATTACTACACCATTGGGACTATTATAAAACAGAAATTTAACTAATAACGCAATTAAAACTGAAAAAAAAGCTTATGTGGAGTTCTATATTAATAATTACAAACATAATTCTAAGCTCGTCTGGTTTAAATTAAGAGAAATAAATGTTTGTGGTAGAACTTCACACAAATGTTTGCCTTCAGATATAGCCGACAATCCGAATGAAATTAATAATCATTTTTTAAACATATCATCAATAAATAATCCTCCATATCAACACTTAATAAACTTTTATAATACCAATCATAAAAACAATTTTCCATATCTCTTCTCTTTTTCTCCCGTCAATCAAACAGTTATATATAAATATCTTCTAGAAATTAAGTCTAGTGCATCAGGTGCTGATCAAATTAATATTGAGATGTTATTACATTGCTGTCCCTTTATTCTACCCATAGTAGCTCATATTATAAATTGTTGTCTGTCACAATCTATATTTCCAGATACTTGGAAACTCTCAAAAGTATTTCCTCTACCAAAGAAAAAAGACGTAACTAATATGAACGATTTAAGGTCCATTTCTATTTTGCCAGTCCTTTCTAAGGTTCTGGAAAAAATTATGAAGTATCAAATTACTATACACATTAATAAGTATGCATTATTGCCAGCAACTCAATCGGGTTTCAGAAAAGATCATAGTTGTACTACAGCACTTCTAGACATCACAGATAACTTATTAAAGAATATTGACAATGGTAAAACTTCTGCACTCATCCTCCTGGACTATTCAAAAGCTTTTGACACCATCAATCATGAGATCTTGTTAAGTGTTTTACACTTTTGTGGGTTTTCACCAAAAGCTATTGATCTTCTCTGAAATTATCTTCAAAATAGACGGCAGTACTTAGAAACTAATACTAGCTCATCCAATACTAAAATAATTTCTCGAGGAGTGCCACAAGGTTCCATTTTGGGTCCTATCCTCTTTTCTCTTTATTCGGCTAATATTACCAGTTGTCTAGAACACTGCAAGTCATTTTTGTATGCCGACGATACACAATTGATGTATTCTTTTGACCACTTTGATTTTGAAGGAGCACAAGAATTGATAAATTATGATCTTGATTTACTAGCATCTGAATCAACTAGACACGAACTAACCATTAATCTTTCTAAATCAATCGTGCTCTTCTTTGGAAAGTACCGTCGTCAGATGGAAGAGAGAATCAATATTTCTCTAGCTGGTAACGATATTTCGTATTCGAGAACCGTAAAAAATTTGGGACTAGATCTAGATACTGAATTAAATTTTAAATCGCAAGTGAACAAGTGTTTAAAAAGAGCCTATTCTAACCTTAAAATGTTATATCCTAATCGACATATTTTTCCGGAAAAAACTAAGATTCAGCTCACCGACTCACTAGTGCTTAGTCATTTTAATTACTGCGATAGTGTTTACGGACCTCGCTTAAATAGTACTGAAGAACGCCGAATTCAAAAAGTTCAAAATACCTGTTTGAGGTATATTTATGGTATTAGAAAGTATGACAGAATATCTCACAAGTTGGCCAGTGCAAAGTGGCTCGATATGAAAAGCAGACGTAAACTACATGCTGTAACTCTCTTCCATAAAATAATCCTTTTTAAAACTCCCCCATACCTCTACCAAAAGATTACATTCAGAAATGATATACATAATTTAAATGTAAGACATCGTGGCTGTTACGGCCATTTGTATTTTTATTAAACTCTTCAAGTAAAATTGGTTGGTCCACGTTCATAAATCAATTTAATTTTAATTCTTTTTATTAAAAGATATTTTTAAGCTCATGTCGAAAAAGAGTCCAGTCCGTTTTGAACCTTCGTATTAAAAACCACGGTTTTTTGTGTGTAAAAATTAGTGCCGGCTTGATAAACAATTCCACCGCAAATTAATTAAAAATTAGTGATTTACTACTTAGAGTAAATTAAAGGATTATTGGTAAGCCATAAATCCCAATTTTTTCCCCTTTTTACCCAAATATTCCTGTTCCTTATTTTTTTGGCAAGTCAGACTCCAGATATAGTCGCAGTTCTTGGAAATTAATAAAGGTAAATTTTATTTAATCTTCATTTATATATTTTTAAAATTTCCCAAGCCAGCTTGTAATAGGGAAGATTTGAGTAACATAGATGTGAACAGTCTTCATCGGAATTACAGGTTGTGTGAGAAACATTTTGAGAAGAATTGTTTTTCTAAAACGTTAAACGGTAAACGTTTATTGCCTACTGCTGTTCCCACATTTTTTATCCATCTAGGTCATCAGCCAAATGTCTATCTTCTCCCTAGTACATCAAGTGCTTCCTCTGTTGAGACTATCATTGAACATGAACGAGACATTTTTGAAAGCATACCATGTGCAACCTTTGGACGTTCTTAAACAAAAATCCTACCTCCAAATTATTATAATGAATTAGATGTCCATTGATTAAAAAAGTTCTGATTGACTACATCTAAACAAAATATATACAGTGTGGAAACCACTTATGGAATAAAATTCTTTATGTCATTATTTTAAAAAATTGTAAAAAATGTCGAGACACGTCAACTTTTGAATTTAGTTGTGCATTATGTAAACATAAATTTAAATTCACGCAAGTATGCCATAGTCGGTGTTGTTTTTTTTTAATGAAACACCCTGTATATTTGCATATTTTTGAAATCCTCTTAATGAACCGATTCCAACAAACTGAATAATGTATGTATGCAAATATACAGGGTGTTTCATTAAAAAAAAACAACACCGACTATGGCATACTTGCGTGAATCACCCTGTACATTTAAATTTATGTTAACATAACGCACAACTTAATTC